GCCCCAAGGAGATGACCCTCCTCGTTCGGGTCGGGGAAACGGAGGCGACGGGGCCACCTGCCTTGGCGTTGATGATCTCGATGTGGATGAGGAGGGAGGCGAGTTCCAGGTCCTCGGTGTAGCTGTTCTTCAACGGCACCGACCGGTAGCCTGGGCACAACACCACGACAGAGCTCAGTGCCACAGCAGGGGCCGAGCCCCTCACCATGGCCAGGACCCCAAGAGATGATGATGATGAGGAGGATGATGATTGCAAGGGTTTGGACTTGATGACCTTTAAAGATCCTTTCCAACCCAAACCCTTCTACGATTCCATGATCTGTGATGATGATGATGATTGCAAGGGTTTGGACTAGTTGACCTTTGAAGGTCCTTTCCAACCCAAGCCCTTCTATGATTCTATGACTCTGTGATGATGATGATTATTGCCAGGGTTTGGACTAGTTGACTTTTGAAGGTCCCTTCCAACCCAAACCCTTCTATGATTCTATGACTCTGTGATGGAGAGGAGGATGATGATGATGATGATTGGAAGGGTTTGGACGAGTTGACGTGTAAAGGTCCCTTCCAACCCAAACCCTCCTATGATTCCATGATCCGTGATGATGATGATGATGATTGCAAGGGTTTGGACTAGTTGACTTTTGAAGGTCCCTTCCAACCCAAACCCTTTTATGATTCCATCATTCTATGATGGTGATGATGATGATGATGATGACGATGATGATGATGATGATGATGATGATGATGATGATGATGATGATGATGATGATGATGATGATGATGACTGCAAGGGTTTGGACTAGTTGACCTATAAAGATCCTTTCCAAACCAACCCCTTCTATGACTCCATGACTCTATGATGGAGATGATGATTGCAGGGGCGTTGGACTCGATGACCTTCAAAGCTCCCTTCCAACCCAAACCCTTCTATGACTTCATAAGCTGATGATGGAGATGATGATGGAGATGATTGCAAGGGTTTGGACTATCTGACCATTAAAAGTCCTTTCCAACCCAAACCCTTCTATGATTCCATGACTTTACGATGGAGATGATTGCAAAGGTTTGGACTAGTTGACCTTTAAAGGTCCCTTCCAACCCAAACCCTTCTANATTGCAAAGGTTTGGACTAGTTGACCTTTAAAGGTCCCTTCCAACCCAAACCCTTCTACGATTCCATGACTCTGCCGGAGAAGATGACGATGATGGTGGGAGGACCATACCTGTTTTGAGGCCCTTGACGGGGAAGGTGGCCTGTGCCAAGAAGTTGGGGTCACTGAACATGTCCTCCTCGTACACTACGAAGCGCAGGAAGGCGAACTCCGGGTTGTTGATGTCGAAGACGAACTGCTTGAAGAGCCACACGGGGTTGAAGCCGTTGTCGGCTGCGGGCGAGAGCGGGAAGGGTCAGAACCAGGCCGGACACACGGACATCACCCACACGGCACCGGCACCCACACGTCCTCCCCTCAAGGTGAAACAGGAGGCCAGGCCCAAAAGAGTTAACTGCTAAATTTGGGCCTGCTAACAAGCTATGAACATCTAAACGATCTATACTCGTTCTGTTCTACCTACTGGACCAAAACTTAAAAGAATGGTAAAAGAATCATAGAATAGGCCTAGAAGTAATAAATTAAGATGCAGTAGGATAAAGCAGACATTTGAATAGAAGAAACAGGCTGGGAGCCAAGGCCTTCTCCAAGCTTCAGTGAGCGGGTCGAGAACAATAGAAGAGAAGGGAGGTCAGGCCAAGGAAGATGAGAATTAGCCCCCAGACCCATGCGAGGAAGATCGGATCTCCCATCAAAATTGAGGGCCAGGGGAAGCACCGCCCCAAGTCCTGCCTGAGCTCCACCTACACTCCACCTGTTATTAATATGTATAGATGGATGTTGTAATCACATGAATATGCACTTAATCATATATGAAAATTGTATAAAAACTGCTGATTTTGTGTGAAGCCTTCGAGCAAGTTTTTCCAGCGATAGCTGGCTTGCTCCCAGCGCTGTCAATAAATACTTTTGCTGCTCAAAGATCAAAAGTCTCTGGGCAGTTTATTATACCGGATTTTTCGGATTCAAAGGGCACAGTCAGGGTCGTGCCGGCGTCCCGGGAGCGGGAACATCATCCCCGCGGTCCCTCACCTACGACATCCGTCTTGTTCTTGCTGTTGTCGTACTCGGAGCCGCAAACCTCCACCTCCACGAAGGGGCACACGATGCTCCTCCCGTTCTTGGGCAGGTGCCGGGCGCCCAGGATCTGTGGGAGGA